CTAAAGAATGTTGCCCCATCTCACAGGGTGCCATTTCCAAGCTAGGGAAATGATGCACCAATTTCACTGCAGTCTCAGGTCAGCATCTTTTAGATGGCATGGTTTGTGTGGCTCCCAAAGTCAGATGACTACTGCTACATTTCTTTTGCTATAAATGGGTCCCTTGAACTGAGGAAATGTTATGGTTTCCCACACTAGTGAATCAGATATTCTGTGAGCCCTCAGAGAGTGGTGGTGACCAAGGTCATGCATGAAGTGTCTAATTCTTCCTGTGAGAGACCACATAACATCACCTTGGACCAAGGGACCCACTTCACTATTCTCTAAGGGATCAGTGTATATAGTAAAACCTTTCATTTTTCATACCTCAATTTAAAAGACTTCAGATGTAATGGCCAAAACTTCCCATCCATATGCCATATGTGAAAATTAACACCCTGTTAATTTTAAAATGCTTTTAACCAAGATTTGCGTATCATTAAATTAACAGGTTATTTTTTGTTATTAATTCACTGTTATTTTTAACAAATTTTAGTGAATAGACCATATGTTGGAAAAAACACTGTAGTAATCTCACCAACATAAATATTACATATCTATAGCTACAGTCTACATAGTTAAATCCAAGAGTCACAGCTTATAAACAATGTTTAGCAAATGATTAGCACTTGATCACACCGCATCATGTGTGGTAATTGGTTCTGTTGTGTGGCTGACTTTCTGTAGCAGTTTTAACACCTGTGAGCCCAACTTTCCCATGTGTGCTAGGCCATGCCCCAGCCGTGTGCATTTGTTTACTCGAGGTAACTGGTGAATGCATGCATCTGCTAAACCTATTCAGCATAAACTTAAAATTACTTTATTGTAACCTTTCTGTGAAATTAAACTTTTCATACAATCTTAATTTTAGTAACACAAATGTGTCTACATAAGTAAAAAGAGATTAACTAAGTTGTCAACTTTTTAGCATATGCATTTGGAAAACCTACTTTATTTTGTAATGGACTTTCGCCAAAATACCCCTTTCCCCAAAATTAGTCTGTTATGTTGAGGTTTTACTATACTATTTTGCAGAATACCTGGGTGGTCCAAGTCCTTTTGAGCTATACTGCTATGGAGAGCAGGGGAATTAACAGCCTTGGGGCAGAACTGAATATACGCTACAACCCATTCCAAGTAAATGCAAATTGTTTCTGTTGCTTCTTCTTCAGGAGGATGAAAAAGAATACATTTTGCATTTCAATAGCTGCATATCAAAGAGCAGGGTGGTGTTACTCCTTCTNACATTTTGCATTTCAATAGCTGCATATCAAAGAGCAGGGTGGTGTTACTCTACTCTGATAAAAATACTCCTTCTAGCACAAGTAAATAACCATAGATCTCTTTGGGAAACGAGTGAGAGAATCACACTTACCATGGCGTTGAAGAGTCTTTCCTCATGGGGACCTGAATACTCATTCAATCACTGGGTTCTGGATCTGAGGAGTGGCTCATATCTAGGAGTTTGGCAAAGGATCATGTGTTTCCATTAGGGAAGCTGACCCCAGCATTCTGCTAACTCATACTTGATCACTTTTGATTATGTATATTAACCAATACTTTTGTTGACTGCTCATCTATCTTGGAACACCATGTTCTATTAATCTTTTCCACAGAAGATTCCTGTGGGTCAGGCCACCTTGTCTCCTATTCCAACCTTCCTGATCATATAATTATACTCATCTGAGGTCCTCTTCTCCACCTTGATACAAAGGAGTTCAGTTTTGTACTGGTTTATCCTACCAGCCTATGGAGGATCTTCAATGCTCAGCTTCTCAGTGATGCTGGTGCCCCCCTCACCAGTTCATTCTTTACTGTCTTGATAAATAGAAAGTCCTCCAGATCTCCCCCAAAACATAGTCAGTTGGTGGGTTTTCCAGTCTTGTGTCTTGTATCCATCCTAGCATGCCTACATCTTCTTCTTTTTTTTATTTTTATTTTAAAGAAAGAGAGGGAGAGAGAGAGGAAGGGAAACATTGATCCATTGTTCTACTTTATTTATGAGCTCATTGGTTGATTCTTGGATGTGCCCTGACTGAGGATGGAACCCACAACCATGGCACATTGGGACAATGCTCTAACCAAATGAGCTAACTGGCCAGGGTGCATGCCTACTTCTTTGAGCTTTATATTCTTTCCTCTCCAGCCTGCTACAGCAATTCTGGCACCTCTACTTCATTAGTCTGAGCCACAATTTTTGCCAAGCTTCTAAGAGCTGCTCCAGCAATATATTAGATCTGCCTCCCAGGACTCCAGGGCCCTTACCAGAGTGTTAAATCTTAGATTATTGTTGACCCCCAAATCAACAAACTCTCCTTATCCAGTTTCATATTCTGCCCCCCTTGTCTAGCACCCTCAGGATCTATACCCAGCCATTCTTTCCCAGCTGCTACCAGTAGATGTTAATCAGGTCCCTCTCAGAGATCCAGCGCTTTCCCAGTCAGATCATGTTGAAACTTCACCCTAGTTATCAGGCAAGTGGTCAGAAAGAATAGTACAGGCAGAACCTGAGAGTGGCATATTTTTTTTAAAGACACCTGGAATCATTTAAGGTTTTTGCATTGTCTTCAAATGTGTTAGAAATGGAGTGGGGGTATCTCCACTTTCCAATAAAAGTAAGTAGGTTACTTCCACAGTCAAAGAGTGCTCAGGAGAACTGCAGGGTTCAAAGTTCTCTTGTGTATCACCCATGTTTCAAGACCCCACTGCTTGCCTGTGAAGGGCCTGACTTTGGCATATGTGACTTACCTAAGCTAAGAATTCAGCCTTCTCTAAAGTTCTACAGCTCTTACAGTTAAGCCTTGCCCCTGTTCTTCATTTCTTTCCTCCTCTAGTTGAAGGACATGAGAATCTCTGTAAATGCCCCCAAGGAGGCCCTTTGATTCTCACACTTTGCTCTAAATTGGGAAGTAATTGTCCTAAGCTTGCCATCTTCTCTCATCAAAGCATCAGTAACCTCCAACAAGAGCCACACATTTCTACAGTCCTTATAATTACTATTTCCCCTCAATGCCAGAAATATGACTCATGTCAGTGCCTCCCCTTCCCCTTTATGTGCCCCAGTTCCCCAGAGATGACAGTGTTAGCAGTTGGTCTGCTACTGAACACCAGGGATCATCAGCTGTGTTACTCACAGGGGTTCTTATTGCCAGCTGAACAGTAAATGAGCTGTCTCCAGAACTGCATCTTAGAGTCAGTCCACTTTTAGGTAAACTGATACCAACCGTCTCAGGTCAGGTGCCATGGAAACAGAGCCTAAGACTGGATTCTGGTGCATGTGATTTATTAAGGAAGTGTTTTTCAAGAAAATTCTTTTTTTTTTAANGGATTCTGGTGCATGTGATTTATTAAGGAAGTGTTTTTCAAGAAAATTCTTTTTTTAAAAAAATTGATTTGAGAGAGAGAGAGAAAAAGAGAGAGGGAGGGAGAGAGAGAGACATCAATCTGTTGTTCCACTTATTTATGCATTCATTGGTTGATTCCTGTGCCCTGACCAGAAATCCAACCCAAATCCTTGGTCTATTGGAACAATAACCAACTGAGTTACCTTGCCAGGGCCTCAGGAAAACTCTTTAAGAGAGTGAAGAAAACAAGAAAGAGAAGATGAAAAAGATGTGGTCTCAGGTGAAACAAACCTTGGATCGATCCATAGGACACTCAGAAGTATACACTGCAGGCAAAGCTATCCTGCTCCTTGAGACACCCAGGCCAGCCTTTGACTGTGAGCTACCTTGGGAGAGGGATGAGGTGGAGGGTAATTCAGAGTGTGGGAGGGCAATTCTCCAAAGAAGGGGGCACAACACACACAGCAAGTGGGTGATGGGTGCACCAGCCAGGTAAAGGGGGATCCCTGAGAGGTACCTACAGCATCTACTACAATTTTGAGAGTGGAGTGTGTGTTTTTAATTTTTTTGTGTGAGAGTATTTTTATAATGTTTGAAAAATGTTGCATATAGGTGACTTTATATATACCACTGTCTATTGAAACCTGGGGGTACAGTTTCTTTTTCACATTTCTGTCTCCAATGCAAGATTCTAAACTGTTCTGTGACAGGGACTTTGTCCTACTCATCTTTGCATTCCTAATTCAGAGGCTGACATTGAAATGTTACTAAATAAACATTTATCAAATGAAGAGAAGCTTGAGGTAGATCACAGAGCAACTTGAACTCCAGGCTAAGTAGCTTGGCCGTGATTCTGTTGGCAGTTAGAAAGAGTTTGAAATGCTTGTTGGCAGTGGTGTGTAATATGTATCGGACTTGGGAGAGGATGGAAAGAACAGCCAATAGACTGTTGCAGCAATATAGGCAAAAGCAACAAGAAGCAGAATTCCCATGGAGGCTGTGAGTGTGGAGAGGCAGATGCGAAAGCCATTAAAGAAAAATTATCTATAAGATCCAGATGGCCCCAGGCTGACATCTAGAACAGAGCCTTTTAGGGATGTTAATCAATCAAGTGAATTAGGTTTGTACTTATCTTCCCCAAGCAGATAGAAGACCATTTTTCATGTTTGCATAGAAGAAATATCTAAATAATAAATTCATGTGGGTTTTCTCATTGTCATCAAGCACATTTAGGCAAAATCCATGAAGTAGGCATGGGAATATTTTCTTTCTCTCCATATTTTGGCCAAGATCCTACAGTTATATCTGAGAAAATCCAAAGTCATCAATGTGGAATTTGCTCAATTCATTAGCACACAGAATACTTAAAATTAAGGCAGTTTCCAGTGGCATTGCTTTCAGAGCAATCCTTCTGTATACAACATGTGTTCCAAAGCTGCGGACTGAGCACATGATTCTCTGCTGAATTCCGGACTGATCCTGGGTGGAATAACTTATCCATGACTCAGATGGATCCTATATGCATCAGGAAATATATGGGTTTCTTTTATTTTTTCTCAGAACTCTTCCAGGACTTTACTGTAGGCAAAGCTTTTGTACATTTCTCTGTGATTGTAGGGCTCGGTGACTTTTGGTCAGGTGCCTGCTGCTCACACTATTTTCCCAGAGCCAGTTCCAGGGATGCCTGTTATATGGACTGGACCTAGATTTGCCAGGGTTCTCCCCCCTGGGGCTGGCTTAAGATTTGCTGTCAACAATATTCCATCTCCCATGAACTTCACCTTCGCCATTTGCTATGAAAGTCAGATATCCTTTAAGTTCAACGCCTTCTGTGGTGAAAAGCTGAAATACACTCTTGTACTGTTTCCATTCCAGTCTTGCTAGATATGTTTATCATAAAATTATTTGCAAAAAGTAGAACATCTGGAGAGCATTATACACCAAAGGGTTTCCTAAAGATATTAAAGCAACATAGTGAGCCATATGCACACATGCTTTATTCCAGGGAGAGAAGCTGAAGTTGGAGTTATATATTTAAGGCACTAGGTCTAAGGAAGTGGTGATGGAATGTTTGTATAAGAATAATAAATAACTAAAATAACACAAATCCTGCCTCTCCTGGGACTTTTTTCTAAAAACTTAATAAACTAACATGTGCAGAGATTCAGACTCAAGGGATGCAGAAGAGGCATTTATTTGCATTTGGATTTTCCCTAAAAGCAGAGAAAAACTAAAAACCTACTGCTCTCTTGCCTCTCACTGCCTTACTACCCTTCCCCAGACTTTTGAGAAATATCTAAAACAGAGTAAAAAACAAATTAGAAAAATACTTGATCTAGAGCAATAGTTCTTAACCTTTTCTTTATATAAACTTTTCTTTGGTAATCTAAAACCCTACAGACCATCTCCCCTGAAAAATATTTTTTATGGCTTGGGAGAAAGGTGGTCCCAAAGTCCCTCTAGAGACCACATTCTGGAAACATTCACTGTGTGTTATATGACCAGAGCTGCTGATCCATTTTGAAACTCTTGATATGTTATAATTCTCTATTTCCCACTTACAAAAGGAAGCTAAAGAATTTCAATAAACTTTGACCTGGTGAGTATGACAAGAAAGTTGTTAAAAATATATAGATATAGGTATATAAATTTTTCCACTGAGAAGACACATCTCTAATAGCTTTAAAAAGGTTTTCCAAATTGTAAGGCTTTCAGAGTATAGTTAATTGGCATATACTAGAAATATATAGCTCTATATATTTATACACATATAAATACATCTAGTAGTATAGTAACTAAATCATATAATTTATATAATGTATTTATACAATAATACTTATGTAATCATATGAAAAAAGTACATATGCTTTTGTGAAGAATTCCAAATTTTTATTTTTGTTTTGTGATCCATGAACATGATTAGTTAATTGATGCTTTGGGAGACAGAGGTTATAGATAAGACATATCAGAAGTACCACAGTTCTTTCAAGCTCGTGAACTATGTAGTTATGGCCAGAAACCTGGATCCTCTACCTGGATCGCAATTCAGACACCAGAGAGTTGGGCCTGAGAGTGAACCTCTAAGACTTTTTCAAGTAGAAAATTATATTTGCCAAGGGGCTATAGGTTGCAAATTTGATTCCATGCAGTGCTCATCAGGTATATGTTTATGCATGCAAAACAAGTTCCCACATCCTCACAAGGACATGCTTTTATGTCATGCCTGTCTAGTCCACAGCTGACTGGGTTGTCCAAATTGTGGTTAAACCCCCCAGAAGGAGCAAGCACTGTACATACAAGATCCCACCTCAAGAGCCTCAGTCTTTTGCCTTACCAGCTGCCTCAAGGTATGTTTGTGTCCTGTTCTCAAACATTGAAGGTTTCTTAGAATTTTGTTCATCCATCAATAATTTGTATCCAGGAACTAAGTGAGAGAAAAGGTGTATTAAAGAAGACTAAATAATATTCCTTTCGCATTCCCTCAGTGGCCTTAAGATGTGAGAAAGTGAAATGCTACAAGAAAAAGAGTAAAATACTCATCTTGAGTTATCTCAGCTGAGAATCTGTGAGGTAAAAAGCTACTAATTTTGAGGCCACTAATTTTGCCTCATCAGAGATTTGAGGCAAAATAAAACAGAAACCCTGTTGATATTAGGATGACAGATAAGATGAAGGACATTTGTGTCATCTTTTCCCCACAGCAGTCATGGTAATCCATGGCCAATAGTTTCTAAGGCTTTGCTATGTGGCACAACCTATGGAAAAGCCATGGAGAATCTGAGTGTGTGTTTACTGTCCACCCATCCACCTGGACCCCGCCTCCGCCCCACAGAGGAACCCACATTGCAGCATAGGTGGAACGCTACGAAACACTGTGGTCTCTTTGGTTACATAACTGTACTTTTGTCACTGAATTTTTGCTTTATTTCTCTTAATACAGAATTGTGCTGCTTCCCACACCCATCTGTTTAGAATCAGATGTACAACATTCCATAGATGTCTATTTTTCCCAGCCTTTGGAAGGAGGGTCCCATGCTCATTCACATATGCTTGTTGATTCTGTAAGTATCACAGAGCTTTGTGGGTACTTCCTTCTAAATAGAACTCCATTTATAATTCTACTTTTAGACTCTCCAGTGAAATGTTTCTTGAGAAGTATAAATGTATTTGTTTCATTATAAAAATCACCTATTCTCTCTAAAAGTCACTTAATAACAACTGCAAACCTTACAGAACAAGAGTACGTGCCAGTAACGGTTTGAAGTGTTTTACATATTCTATTATTTAGTCTTATAGAGTCAACAGCACTATGAGGTAGGCACTATTATTATCCTCATTTATAGACAACAGAACTGAGGCACAGGGTCTCAAAGCTATTAGTGAGGAGTCTGGAATCAGAGCCAGACTGCCTGATTCCAGAACCCCTACCCTGAACCATGACAGCATTAAGGAAAATTTAGGGAGAAATCATACCACTTTAATAATTAGCATCATGCAAGTTCCCATTTGTACATGTTATGCTTTTATGTTGTAGCCAGTGTGCTTAAACAGGTATGTACATGGACACTTTTCACTTCACATTATATCAGAAACATGTTCTTGCTGTTTATGTAGTCTTATTTTTAGGAACTATGCAGCATATTTCTTTGAGTGACTTTTTAAATTTTTATTTTTTAATTAAAGTTTACATTCAATATTATTTGTATTAGTTTCAGGTGTACAGCATAGTAGTTAGACAATTATCTACTTTACAAAGTGCTCCCTGAATATTCCCAGTACCTGCCTGGCACCATACATACTTACTATAATATTACTGACTGTATTCCCTGTGCTGTACTTTACATCCCCATGACTATTCTGTAACTGCCAATGTGTACTTCTCAGTCCCTTCACCTTTTTCACCCAGACTTCCAACACTCCTCCATCCTGCATCTATCGGTCTGTTCTCTGCGTATATGAGTCTGTTTCTATCTTGTTTTTGGTTTTTGTTTATTTTGAGTGACTACTTTCAGCATCTATCTGCCAAAGAATTGGACTACAGGTGGTGCTTCCAAACCACTCTGTCTGTGCATTTCAGACCCAAGCTTGTCACTGGGCAGGGTTCGGCACCAAGTAAATTTATATGATTTACTTGTCTGTTCCCCTACTTGTGGAATAATTGCTTCTGTTTTTCACTATGTATAGTTGGTACATATTTTTCAATATTTTAAAATATAGTCATATGTATCCAAGGTTTTATGGCTCTTGAAATAACTCATCAAATTAATTTGTGGAAGCCATTTTCCAATTAATTTTCAGGATTACCAATAATGTATGAAAGTGCTAGCTTCATTCATCTTCAGAAGAATTGTATAGAGTTTTTTGGGAGTTTTAAAAAGCAATTTTGTGTATAAAAATCAAATTGCTTTGTTTAAATTGTATTTTTAAATATTTGTGAGTATCTTCTAATATCTTGATTTAATTGACAAACTACAACCTACAAATTATATTGGAATACAGCCATGCCATATTACGTTTACATATTATCTATAGTTGTTTTCAAGCTACAAAAGCAGAGCTGAGTAGTTATAACAGAGACCTTAAGACTTCAAAGCCAGAAATATTTACTTTCTGGCCTTTTATAGGAAGTTTGTTGAACCCTGATTTAATTAGCTACTTATCCACATTTTGTGAATTGTCTCTTCAAAGTTCAGTTTTTCACTATTGAACATTTTAAATTTTTATCTGGGAACTTTGTTATTTTCATCATCTTAAATCTTGGATTTTATTCAACAAGTTCAGCTATTATAACATCAAAAAAAAAGCCATTGTTTTAAGATTATTTTACCAATGGTAGATTGCAAGATTTAGCAAAAAATGAATGAAGGAAGGAAGGAAGGAAGGAAGGAAGGAAGGAAGGAAGGAAGGAAGGAAGGAAGGAAGGGAAGGAGGGAAGGAAGGAAGGAAGGAAAGAGTTAGAGAGAAGGGAGGGAAGAAGGGAAGAAAGAAAGAAACAGGACACCCAATTAAATTTAAATGCAGTATAAAATATGTCCTAAATATTGCCCTCAAATATTGCATGAGACATACTTATACTAAATAAAAATTATTCATTATTTCTCTGAAATTAAGTTTTAATTAGGTGATTTGTATTTTATATGGGAATTTTAGCCAAAAGTGGTCTAAAGCCTGCACCCAGAGGGCCATATACTATTGTGGTGAGATTCTACCATATTATAGTAGAAACAAAGTTTAGAAAGAAGAAACAAACTCTTGAATGGGAAATTCTAACTGTCGTGATTCCCCTAGCCACACAATTCAAATTCTCAGCCAAGGAGCTTTAAATAGAACTGTGCTCCAGAGGGTTCCAAACAAGGGAGACCCAAAGAGAACCACTCCAAGACACATCATAATTAAAATGGCAAATGTCAAGGACAAAAAGAAAATATTAATGGCTGCAAGAGAGAGACAAGCAGTGACCTACAAGGGAAACCCCATAAGGCTGACAGCTGATTTCTCAACAGAAACTCTTCAGGCCAGAAGGGAGTGGCATGAAGTTCTCCAAGTAATGAAAAGCAAGAACATGCCACCAAGATTGCTTTATCCAGCAAGGCTATCATTTAAAATTGAAGGTGAAATAAAGAGCTTCACAGATAAAAAAAAAAAGGCTAAAGGAGTTCAGTACCACTAAACCAGCATTGCAAGAAATGATAAAAGGACTGCTCTAAGAAAAAGAAAGAATAGTGAGAGAAAGGTAGGTCAGCACAAAGAGGAAAAATGGTATTAAATAAGTTGATATCAATAGTAACCTTAAATGTAAATGGAATAAATGGTCCAATC